GCTCAGGAGAAATTTTGGTGAAAGTGATTTAATAACAGTTTCAATTTTCAACTCTTTTAACACAAAACCATCCATTAGAGAAGCCCACATTCCATATTGTGCATGTGAACTAAATTATTACAATAATGTAGGGTAATTCATATCAAAAACCTGCAGCAAAAAAAACAAAAAACAAAAAGAAAATATATATACTTAACTCCATACAACTCCTCAAAGTATCAAAGAGAAAAGATTTCTTGCACAGACAGTAACCATCTTAAGCAGTCATCAAGCAACAGAAAAAATGGCGACCACAGTCCTCCAGAAAATAGAGAATTAAACTATTTATTTGCAGCCTAGAGTGCACAGACTTTCACTTTTGGGCCGTGCAGTGATATTTTTTGTCCTGCACCTGAATATTTCTGCCTGGATGTGCACACACTTGGTCCCTCTCCTGAGGTTTACTAATGTGACAGGAGGCAGCATCAGATTATATAAGACAAGTTAACAAACAAGATCATTGAACATTTTATGATCTTCTCTCTTTAGGTTTGTAAAGCCAGCAGTTGGTCTCCAGTCAGTCCCTGAAGTTTCCAACAGAGAACATTTATGGCGACTTCATTGTATAACACTGTCTGCTCTCACTGTCCTCATATTACACACATCATAAAAGAACTCTGTCTTCTTCCTGTGTTTGTGACAAACTGCTGAGCAATGGTTGTGTATGAAGCACAGCAGTTTCCACCAAATGCATTGCTCCCTCGCGGCCACTAGCTTTTCCGCTATATAAATAATACCCACATAGACCAAAGGGAATATTGCTGGACCAGTGTAACTACCAGGAAGATGGTGGGCTTACAGTGCCACTTGGCTGCGTTTCTGCCCTCATGCAGAAACACAGAAACAGAAATGGAGATAAAGTTTTAGAAAATTATATCCAGGAATCTGGTTTAGATGCAATGGATATGAGATTCAGAAAAGTAAAGTTCTGGAGGGTCTAAGAAGATTGGACTACTACATGTCTACTACAAAACTCTTCACTCTGCAGTTTATTAGAAATATATTTTACCCAATGGAGCTTTATGGGACACATTATCAAGATTTCAATGTGAACAAATGGATGGAAGGTTCATGTAGTTTGTGTGGTGGCTGACGTCTCTGAGGACAATAATTATATTAATGAACTCCAAACAAGGCAGCTGCATTTGGTGGAAAACTGCTGTGCTTCATTACACAACCATTGCTCAGCAGTTTTGGTCCCAAAAACCACAGAAGAAAGACAGAGTTCTTTTTATGATGTGTGGAATATGAGGACAGGAGAAGCAGACCAGTGTTAAATTAAGGAAATACGACCGGTCACTAAACCTTCTGTAATTCCAAATATTAAAATATAGACCAGAATATTCTGACTTCACTTTAAACTTACGCATCCGTATGAAGTTTTCTCCCTTCTCTGTAAAGAGGACCAGAAAATGGTTAGATATTGATTGATTGTTTTTTCATTTCACATGTTAATCTTGTTAATAAAGCTTGCTCAATCTACAGTGTTGTTGGTGTTCATTAACCAGCAATTCACACAGAAACAGGGAAAGCAACACAAGTGTTTTTGGTGACACACTTGCTATGGGAATATGAATTTAGTGATTGGACAACCGATGGGCTGATGGAACCTCCTGAAGAGTGGACCTTAAGAAGACTCTTCTCATCCCATTTATTACACTGAAACTTGGCATAAAAATGAAAATACCACGTAGACAACAAATATTGCCTGACTCAAAAGCCGGTTTTCCCACTCTTACTGGGAGATGGTAGCCAGTTCAGCTGATGCTCCTTCTGCCCTCTGCAGGGAACCAGAAACTCCAAAAAGTTTAGAAAAGGTTAGCTTGGTTTAAGATGGCAATGGGAATATGAAGATCAGAAAAAGTAAGTTCTGAATTCTCAATATGTTGGGGTCCCTAAATGTCATTTAAACTGAGATTGAGAGGATTGCAGGCTTAAAGAGGCCCAGGTATATGGTCCATCCATTGCTTGTTCAATGATTCAGGTCTAAATGGGTCCAGATTCTGACCCACCCCTCACTCTGATTGAGCTCTAATGAGAACATTATCAAGATA